TTTTTGGTTTTGATTTTGTCTTTGTTTTTTAATGTTGTTGTTTTTAATTTAGTGCAAGGGATTGTATCAGGAGAATGAGCAGATAAAACTATTATTTTGGACATTTCGTTTAAATATTTGAAAGAACTAAGGGGGATTATCACTTGGATAAAAAGATCCTGTAAATCTAATTTCCAAATGGAATTCTTCACTAATCATTGTTCAGATTCTTTAGAACCTTCATCCATGTACTTTTTCTCCTTAGCAGAGACTTTGTGTTTGAGGTTTTGAAAAATAATCAATTTGAGTGAACAGAAAATTGAAAGTTATTACATTTCAGACATAAAAATATTCTTCAAGAGTCTACATTTGTAAATAGGCAACTTCACTCACCCCTCAGCTAAAGTAGTTCTTTCTTCTTCATCTTCTGTGATGCCCAGAGTTTTATTTTATTTTGTTAATCTCCTTTAAAACTAACCAGGGAACATTGTGGAGGAGGGGAAGGGGAGGAAGGGAATGAAGTTAATTCAAACGATAAGTGTTCTTTTGGAATACTTTTTTTTAATCTGTTAATAAAAATTAAAGCATCTAAAACAAAAATTTTAAATAAGAAAAGCCATGTCATCCAACTTATTTACTTTTTAATTTTAAATGCTCACCTTGAACAAGACATATCTCCTCTTTTCACTATGAGGGTATCTGAGATCTCTTATGTTATACATAGATGGCACAGTGTCTAAGAGCTCTGGGTTTGGAGTCAGGAAGACCTGAGTTCAAAACCCACCTCAGATAACACATCTGTGGCTCTGGGCAAGTCACTTACCCTATCTCAGCCTCAGTTTCCTCCCCTCTAAGATAGGGATAATAATAGCACCTACATCACAGGGTTGGTGTGAGACTCAGAGATAACCTACGTCTAGTGGTTTGCAAACTTTACACGCACTATATAAACGCTAGCTACAATCAAATGAATTGATATGCCAGAGCTTTAAAAACCTATATGAGTGTTAGCTAATATACATGTCAACATTAAAAAAAAAAGACAGCTTTCCTATTTCTCATAGGGCTTGATAAGAAAAGTTAACCTGTTCAGACCTCGAGTGCTAAAGTATCATTAGTTTCCCTAAAAAGTTAATTTCTCATTAAAACAGTTTTAAAAGATATTAGCAACATGGATAGCAATCAATAAAATTATAATTCACTGTGTCACAATAAGAAAAATGTTAGAATTCCTCCCTATGAAGGCATCCTGCCCATTCAGGTTGTCCCTTAACAGCTGGGCAGCTTTGAATAGATCACCCACTATGAAAGTATTGATGGCATTCCTCCCTACAAGTTTCTCTCCCATTATTTCCTTAAAAACAGAGAAATAAAGCATAAATTCAGAAAAGAACATACACTTAGCTTCTCATATTGAAGTCCAGCACATAGACTCAGGCAATCGTAAGCAAAGAATTTGGGATGTGGCCTCAAGGGGTAAACTACTTTTCTGCATCCAGTTTTAGAACTGGTTAAAAGAGCTTGATCTTATTCAGTCCAAGGTTCTTAATTCTTAGCTTCACTAACTTCATTGAGTGACAACTTTTAGAAATTAGATCTTTGAGTAGGTTGTATTTTTAGAGCCTTATATGACAGATTTTAGGAGGCACTTCCAAATGGTTTGCTGCCTCTCTTCACTGTGGGTCAAATCTGTTACTGTCTCCCAAGATTGATAAGGCAGGAACGAGGCTGTAACCTTGGGAATCCATTATCACACCCTGGGAATTTCTCCCTGACCTTCCTCTTCTTTAGTAAATCATATTCTGTAATACACCCAGCCAACCATTTAGAATAGGGGGAAGATACTATAGTATGGAGAATCTCAGTGTGATGTAGAAGAAAGAGGGGGTAAAGGGTAACATCATCATCATCATAGATAGCATTTAAATGAGCTCCAGTTCAGTCACTCTTCCTAACTTCATCTTCATAAATGTTGTTTCCACTTATATATAGCACATCAGATTCTGAGTTAGGAGTCTCAATATGGTATTTTTCCTATCCTTGTTCAAAGATAGATAAATAGATAGACCACTGGACCTGGAGTTAGAAAGACCTGGGTTCAAATTCAGAATCAGACACTTAATAGCTACGTGACTGGACAACACATTTAACCTCTATCTCCCTTAGTTTCCTCACCTATAAAATTGAGATAATATTACCTAAGTCCCAGGATTGTTGTGAGGATCAAAAAGGATAACATTTGTAAACTGCTTTGCAAATCTTAAAGTGCTATGTAAATACCTGGTGCTGGCACTACCACTGCCACTGTTGCTGTTGTTGTCGTTGTTGTTGTTGTTCTTCCTCTTCCTCCTCCTCCTCCTCCTCCTCCTTCTCCTCTTCCTCTTCTATCCTACATGGGAGTTTATCACAGGTCTATATTTGTTTTCCCTTCCTTTGATTTTCTGTTTTGTAAGGCAGTAACTACACATAATTTTCTATCATCATCCTCTGAAATGTTTTTTAAGTGTTGCTTTTATTCACTTGGCATTACCTTTGCCTGGCATGTCTTGCACTTGGCAAGATCAGGTGTTTGCTGGCCAAATTGGTTTCTATGCCCTTTGGTCCACCTTGTTGTAGCAACTGTTTTGCTCTGATTAAACTTCTTTAGAAAATTATAATTGTCCTTGTCTTTACTTTTGTCTGTTTCCCATTTTTTGCAAGAGTAATTGGCCTTTTTAATAAGTCAGATTGGAAATGTTATTATATACAGAGTCATTTCATCTTCGTGTTTTCTCCTAATTTGTTGTTAATTTTTTCCCCTAATTGTTACATGCAGACACCTAATTTGGAAATAACTTTCCTGTTAATAACAAGTCATTTCCTGTTTGTTAGGATATAGTTGTTTGTTTTTTTAAATCTCATTGTTCACTATGTAAATCTAGCACCTTCCAACTCATTTTTTGAAGAGCATTTCTGGTGTGTATGCCTAAAGTTTCCTGTTTGTCTCCAAATCTTGAGACTCTTGAATTTTTACAAAGTCATATGCCATCTTTTCCAACATATTTCTTCCCTTTCAACCTTTCTTCCCACCTTCATGATGAAGTACCAAGTATCAGGGCATATGTTGACTTTGGAGGATCCTGGCAAGTTCTTCATAGAATTTCTCTACTTCAGCAAATGATAGGTCCTAATTGGCAGTTACCTTCTTTTTATTTATGCTTATTGTGAGCACCCTACAATGTGACATTCAATTACAGACCTAGAGTGGGAAGGAGCTTCAAAGGTCATCTAGTTCAACCCCCCATTTAATAGATGAAGAAACAGGTGCCAGGGAACTTAAATCACTTGACTAAGATCACACAGGTGGTAGCCACCAGACTGGATTGGAATCCAGATCCTCCAACTCCAGTCAGTGTTTTTCTCTCCCACTGCTACCCCCCTTCATGCTACATCCCAGTTCCATTAAATGCAAGTCAACAAGTGTTTATTAAGCACCAGTTAATAAAATCATCACATGTCCAAATTCCTTTTACCCTCAAAAATCTCACTGAGAGCCTTGGTTTTCTCATCTGTAAAATGAGAATAACATCTGTTACTGACTGCCTTAAGGAGCTGTTTTGAGGAAAGTGTTTTATAAAACTTAAAGCAAAATAGAAATGTCATTGTTACAAGAGGAATGGTGTGAGGTATCTCACTATATATCCTTGCTCTCTGAAGTGGCACAAAGAGCAAGGGAGAAAAAAATGTAACTTTTTCTACAGAACTGAAAATGTCAGATTTGCTGTAAAAACAAAATCTTTGTACTAGAAAGGTATGCCCTTGGTAAATTTAAGAAGCACTGGATGGACTGGTGTCTAACAAAGAGAAGGTGTTAGGGCACAGAGGTTTGTTTTTTTTTTAAGGCAGTTGGGGTTAAGTGACTTGCCTAGGGTCACACAGCTAGTAAGTGTCAAGTGTTTGGTCTGAGGCTGGATTTGAACTCAGGTCCTCCTGAGTGGATAGCCAGTGCGCTATCCACTGCACCAACTAGCTGCCCTCTGGGCACAGAAATAAAGATTCCCTCCCTTCTTATCCAATGTCTTTTCATTATTAAAGATTTGGAGCATTCTTTCACGTGGTTGTTGTAGCTTCCATTTCTTCATCTGAGAATTACCTGTTCGTATCCACTGACTATTTATCTATTAAGGAATACTTTAGTTCTTATATTTCTGTCAGTTCTCTATAAATCTTTGATATAAGAGCTTTTCCAGAGATAATTACTGCAAAGATTTGTTCCCCACTTAGCTGCTTTTCTTCTAATTTCAACTGCATTGTGTTTGTACAAAAGCTTTTCAGTTTTATGTAGTCAAAGTACTACACCTTATCTTCTAAGGTCATCTGTATGTATCATTTAGTTTAGAATTCTCCTGCTACTCCTAGTTGTGCAAGGAACTACCTTCCATTCTCCTCTAGTTTATTTATTATTTATATGTATTTATTTTAATATATTTATTACTTATTTCTGTCTAATTTATTATTTATTGCTATATAGTCACATTATTCTGTGACTTTTTATATTTAGGTCAGGTATACATTTGGAGCTTATGGTTTCTGTATAAGTTGTACTAATTTCTGCCCAAGTGCTTCCCACTTTGCCCAGAAGCTTTTGTTATCCTTACCACAACAGCTGGTATCCTTGGTTTTAAAAGATCCAAGATAATTAACAATATTAAATTGTTCTTTGTTCTTTCTTGCCTAGTCTGCACTACCAAAGAGTTTTCCTAGATACTACCTCCTAGCATAATTTGAGGGTCTAGCAATGTTGGGTTCCCTTCATTCTGAATTAAAAAATTATTCTGTTTGACATTCTCAGCCTTTAATTCCACTAGATAAATTTTATCATTTTTGTTTTCTCTGATACATTTCCAAGTAAGGAATGTCACTTGGAAATCCCTTCAAAGGGAGGCTGCAATGGAGAATCAACTTCACTTCTAACAGAATATCTATGAATGGTTAAGACTATTATCTGGAAAATTCTTTTTGTTTTCTCTTTTTCTCTTCAGTCATGTAACACAGACCACATCATGGATCCACCCTGTGACGAGTGCACTGAACTTGTCCTGCTTGGAGGAGAATGAAGAAGATTGCCCCAGAGACCCTCCCAATCAAAAAAGCTGATAGTTTATTATAGAGAATAGAGCCATAGGATAGAGTGACATCATTTTCAAAATAGCTTGAGCTAGTTCAGTATGCAATGGGGACAAAATGTACACCACATGCAGAAGTTGTGAAATAGGGAATAATGAATTTATCCTGTTTGTTTAAAGCAAACATCCGATGTGTTTCCCGTGCCCATTTCCTATTCGGTTCATTTCAGCAGTTATCTATAAGATAATCCACTGGTGATATGCTAATCATTTTTTTGAAATAATAGTCTATTCAGATTTTTCTAAATGGCGAGGAATTCAGTCTGCAAAAAATTATATGAGCAATTATTTCTTCCTTTGGAAATAAGCTGTATGACTGAAAATTGTTTTTATTTAAATCTCCTATTGCAAAAGTATATGAATGTTTTCACATTTTCATTGAAACACTATTTGATAATACATCAATTCTTTACATTTATGTCTCATTGTAATTTGTAATCCAAGTTGCTTTGGTTGCCCTCCAGAAGTGAGGAAGCATCTGAAATGTCCATCTGAAAATGCTCAGGAGTTCACAAAACAACATTCCATAAAGGAATACTATCACAGCAGCTAGTTTTCTATCTATACCCCCAGTGGCTTAAGATAGTAGAGGGTGTATATATACATATATGTGTGTGTGTGTGTGTGTATCTATATCTATTTATATATATATATATGTGTGTGTGTGTGTGTGTGTGTCACTCATGCTTTCTGCATAATTCTACTCCTTTCTTGAGGCATCGTTTTCATTCATTCATTCAACACAGTAGGCACCTTTTCCTTCTACTTCCCTTTCCTTCCATTTCCCTACCAGGCAGAGGAAAATTTCATGAAATTTCTTCTAGCACCTGAGGGCAAGGCTTCTCACTGAAACTGAATGGTTAGTCAGGGAGGTCCCTAATGTTGAAGTTGGCTTTTCTTGGGTTTGAGAGTAGGGAGCAAGTAGTAGAACTTTGCAGCCAAATGCAACTGCATACACATTGTGAGCTCATTGCCTACACAAGACTTAGTATTGGCCCCTGGGGTTTCTAGCATTCACTCATGCCTGCATCCATTTATTCAGTAAATGTGTTTCAAGTGCCTAGTGAAAGGCAGCATGGAATGGCAAATAGAGAGCAGCCTCCTAGTCTGGAAGACCTGGGCTCATGTCCCACCTCTGACTCTACTGACTGTGTGACCCTTAACCTGTCAGGGCCTTCAAGCAACTTTCTAAGACTTGGGGCTGCAGAAAAGCTGCCCTTTGCGCTAGGAGAGCGCATCCCTCTCCAGGAGCTTGTTATACTGATGAAATCACAGTTCCAGTTTTGTTTTGTTTTTTTTTTTAAAGTGCCTAAATTTCATTAGACTTTATTTTATTATAACAATGCCCCCTAGAATAACCCTAAAAGTAGTGAATGGGATACTGACTCCAAACCATTCTTTCCTAACACACTAGGATAAAAGGGAAAAGCTTACATACTCACAAAAGGCCAGATGAGAAAGACAGGCAATGAATACTTAGATGCTTAACCTGCTTTGTTTAAAACCAGTTTCATTGTGATATGGAACTCTTAATCCATGAGGGTTTAAAGGGAATCTGAGTATGCAGTGCAATAAAGCCTGGTTCCTGTCTGCTTTCCATCAGCCAGAAATCTCTATTAAATTTGCACTGCAATAAAATGGTAATTGGTGATAATAATTAAGCCTTTGAGGTGCTGCAAGATTCCAGTGGTAGTCCCTATTGGGTCAGGTCAACAAGCATTTATTAGTGCCTGCTGCGTTCCAGGTACTGTGCTATGCTGTGGGAATACAAAAAAAGGCAAAAATAATCAAATGAAACAATAGTCCCTGCTCTCAAGAAGCTCAGAGTCTAATGAGGGAGACAACATGCAAATAACTATGAACAAATAAGATGTATACAAGCTAGTTGAAGATACTCTACAGAGGGAAGGAGTCATTAAGTCATTAGAGGTAGCAGTAAGCAGTAAACAAAGAAAGATTCAATATGGTTTTAGTATTGGGTATATTTCAGTTTTTGCCTAATTCTTTGAAAATTGTGTTACTCTCATGTATATTCAATGGGGTTTTCTTGGCAAAGATACTGGGGTGGTTTTCCTTCTTCAGCTCATTTTATAGGTGAGGAAACTGAGGCAAAGAGGTTTAAGTGACTTGCCCAGGGTCACCAAGCTATTAGGTATCTGAGGCCAGATTTGAACTCAGGAAGAGGAATCTTCCTGATTCCCAGGCCTGGCATTCTATCCACTATGCCACCTCATATAGATGTAAACATAGATGTAGTTATAAACAGATATAGTTGTAGATACAGATGTAGTTAAATATATAAACATATGTATAAATATAGCTATAGTTATAAATATAAATATAGATATTGATGTTGATGATTTACTGTAATCAACCCGTTGGTGATAATCAGATTCAGTAAACTGCTGGGACCATACTTAAGGCCTTTCTAGTTTGGTGGGACCTATAGGGACTTGTACTCTACCAACATGGCTTTTAGGAACCTGGGATTCAGGGAAGGAGGAGCCAAGATGGTAGAGAGAAGCCAGGAAATCATCTGAGCTCTTCCCAGTTTCCCTTGGAAACAAAGTTAAATCAAGCGTCTAAAAGAATTCTGGAGTGACAGAATCCACAAAAAGAGAGAAACAATTTTCCAGCCCAAGATAACTTAGAAGTACTTCAGGAAAGGTCTGTCTCAGTTGGGTAGAAGGGGAGCGGAACCCAGCACAGACGGTGTCTGGGCGAGGCAGCGGGAGGCTCTTAACCACAGCAAAGATGAGCAGCCAAGGCCCCACAGTCCCAGCTCAGCAGGCCAGCCATGAGACCTCCAGTCTCAGAGCAGCAGGCAAACTGCCAGCCCCAGAACAGCCACAAAGGCTCTGGCACAGAAAGCCAGTGACCAGACCCCTGGACCCCGGTGCAAGAAGCTTGGAACAGTGCCCCGGGCCCCCAGGAGCAGAAGTCAACTTTAAAAATGAACAAATGAATGAAAAAGAGTCCTGAGCACAGAAAGCTACTATGGCGACAGGAACATCAAAATACAAATTCAGAAGAGGACAACACTGTCAAAATGCCTACATGAGAAGCCTCAGCAGGGAATGTGAATTGGTCTCAAGCGCAGAAAGTCCTCTTGGAAGAGCTCAAAAATAATTTTAAAAATCAAGTAAGAGAGGTAGAAGAAAAATTGGGAAAAGAAATGAGAGTTACACAAGAAAATTATGGAAAAAAAAGAGTCAACAGCTTGGAAAAGGAAGCACAAAAATTGACCGAAAAAACAATTCCTTAAAAAAAAAAATAGAATTGGCCAAATGGAAAAAAAAAAAAGTCTCCTGAAGAAAACAACTCCTTTAAGAGTGGAATTGGCCAAATGGAAAAGGAGGTACAACGCTAACTGAAGAAAATAATGCATTAAAAATTAGAATTGAGCAAGTGGAAGCTAATGACTCTATGAGACATCAAAATCAGTCAAACAAAAATCAAAAGAATGAAAAAATAGGGCCTCTTTTCTAAAATATATAGAAAACTGAGTCAGATTTATAAGAATACAAGTCATTCCCCAGTTGGTAAGTGGTCAAAGGATATGAACAGGCAGTTTTCAGATGAAGAAATTGAAGCTATCTATAGTTACATGAAAAATGCTCTACATCACCATTGATTAGAGAAAGGCAAATCAAAACAACTCTGAGGTAGCACCTCACACCTATCAGATTTGCTAACATGACAAAACAGGAAAATGCTGAATGTTGGAGAAGATGTGGGAAAATTGGAACACTAATGCATTGTTGGTGGAGTTGTGAACTGATCTAGCCATTCTGGAGAACAATTTGTAACTATGCCTAAAGGGCTATAAAACTGTGCATACCTTTAACTCAGCAATACCACTTCTAGATCTGTATCCCAAAGAGATCATGAAAATGGGAAAAGGTCCCACATGTACAAAAATATTTGTAGCAGCTCTTTTTGTGGTGACAAAGAAAACTGTGGGGATGCCCATCAGTTGGGGAATAGTTGAACAAGTTGTGGTGTATGAATGTAATGGAATACTATTGTTCCAAAAAAAAAATGATAAGCAGGCAGATTTCAGAAAAACTTGGAAAGACTTACAGGAACTAATGCGGAGTGAAGTGAGCCGAACCAGAAGAACATTGTACACAGTAACAGCCACATTGTGCATTGACCAACTTTGATAGAAGTTAACTCTTCTCAGCAATACAAGGATCTAAGACAATTCCAAAAGACTCATGATGGAAAATGCTATCTACATCCAGAGAAAGAACTATGGAATCTGAATGCAGATCAAAGCATACTATTTTCTCTTTTTTTGTTTCTTTAGTTCTAATTCCTCTTTACAACATGACTAATGTGGAAATATGTTTAAGATGATTGCACGTGTATAACCTATATCAAATTGCATGCCATCTTGGGGAAGGGGAGAAAAATTGAAACTCAAAACCTTATAGAAGTATATGTTGAAAGCTAAAAACAAATAGATAAAATTATTTTTAAAAGAAGAATGAAAAAATAGAAGAAAATGTAAAAATATCTCATTGGAAAAACATCTGACCTGGAAAATAGACCCAAGAGAGATAATTCAAGAATTATTGGACTACCTGAAAAAAGAACCTGGATAGTATCTTTCAAGAAATTATCAAGGAAAACTGCCCTGATATCCTAGAATCAGAGGGTAAAATAGTCATTGAAAAAATCCACCATTCACCTGAAAGAAATCCCAAAATGAAAACTCCAAGGAATATTGTAACCAAATTTCAAAACTATCAGTTCAAGGAGAAAATACTGCAAGCAGCCAGAAAGCAACAATTCAAATATTAAGGAGTCACAGTCAGGAATGCACAGGACTTAGCAGCTTCTACATTAAAGGACTGTCGGGCTTGGAATATGATATTCTGGAAGGCAAAGGATCTTTTATTATAAACAAGAATTAACTACCCAGCAAAATTGAGCATAATTTTTCAGGGAAAAAGATGGATATTCAATGAAATAGAGGACTTTCAAACCAGAGCTGAACAGAATATTTCATCTTCAAATACAAGACTCAAGAGAAACATAAAGAGGTAAACAGAAAAGAAAAAAACAACAACAACATGCTATTCAATATGGTTAAACTGTTTACTTCCCTACATGGGAAGATAATATTTGTAACTTTTAAGAACAGTATCTCTATTAGGGCTGTTAGAAGGAGTATACTTAGACTAAGGGTGTGGGTATAAGTTGACTTCAGTGTGATGGTAAGAAAATTAAGGAGTAAAAACAAAAAAGGATTGTACTGGAAGAAGAGGAAAGGGGTAGGCAGAATGGGGTAAATTATTTCACATAAAGAAGCATGAAAGACCTATTACAGTAGAAGGAAAGGAGAGAGTGAGCATTGTTTGAACCTTACTCTCATCAGATTGGGCCCAAAGAGGGAATAACATTCACTC